CTCTCTCTCTCTCTCTCTCTCTCTCTCTCTCTCTCTCTCTCTCTCTCTCTCTCTCTCTCTCTCTCTCTCTGAGGCACACACACAGCCCATTCACCACAGAATGCGTCATGCCAGTGTGTTTTTGAAGCCGCCGTGAGCACGACGTGCTGGCGGGAGGACGTGGGTGTTCCCAGCTTTCACCCCGCAGCTCTCTTCGTCGCTCAAGTCAGCGGCATACAGATAAACAGTCATGTTCTCAAAACTTCTGTTTTTGTTTTCTTTCTTGCTTTCAATACTCCGCGTGTAGAAGAGAAGAGATCACGGGCCTCGCTCCACTACTCATATCCACAAAGAGAAAAAAATAGGACGGTGTATCTTTTCATCTTCTAGCGCACGTTTAATTCTCATTTTGCACATTTGGTGAGTCGTGGAGCGAGGCCCCATCGTAGGTGAGTGAGTAGCTGCAGGTGGCAAATAGGACAAGAGCGGGAAGGGGGAACCGGGACAAGAGAGAGGGAGGAGAGAGGGAGGAGCTGGAGATTATAAAGAGATTGAGCAGACAGGACACAAAGGACACGACCGCGATTAATGGCGATAAGATGATAACGTAGCCATTATTAATACCCCGGGCCAGCGGCAAGACGAGAGAACTAGAAACAGAGGAGGACCAGAAGGGGCTTGTAGGTCCAGGGGGAGGAGGCGGGAGTTCCCCAGGGCTATACCCACCGTCAATACTGTTTCTGCCTCTCTCTCTCTCTCTCTCTCTCTCTCTCTCTCTCTCTCTCTCTCTCTCTCTCTCTCTCTCTCTCTCTCACACACACACACACACACGTAGTGACTCACTCAGCGACAAGATGCACGTCATCTGTATCTCAGACATGAAGAAGAACAGAGAGACGAATGCGCCCAGAGAGATGAGAAAAAGGAGGACAACATGCAGGGGGGTGGAAAGATGGGCTTACTTCGGTGAGGTGAGGGAGATTGCCGGAGCGTGTATCTGATATGGACAATGCTGGTAGAATGGTCAGAATCTGGCGGCAAGGTTCGACATCGTGCACGATGGCTTTGCCACGCAATTACAAAGAACAGATGGAGAGCAACATCTGGCACTTAGTCATCAATTGGCAGTCATCATTGGCGCGAAGCTCAGCACAGCAACCACAACGTTCATCGACCCTGGCGACCAGCGGCGCCGGCGCGCGAACCACGGGGCACGCGGGCGGGAGTGTCCGACAAACTGACCAAACCGAAAATGGCCAAAAGAAGGTCGCCGGCGCGCGTCGGGCGGGCAATGGGCGGGATGGTGCGTCAATTTCTTTGCATGCCATTGGGCCTCGTTCCACTACACAAAGCTCTAAACGCACTTGGACGGTCCCTGGACCCGATGCATTCGAAATGTAGGACTCGGACGAATGCACCTGGGCGACAAAGAAACCAAATGCATGGAGAGTGTTGTGTGTAGTGGAGCTACCGGTAGGCCGAAGGTTTGGGCCTCGCTCCACTACTTCTTCTTTTCCTTTTTTTTTTTTTTGTTTTCCCTTTTTTTTTTGTTGTCGCTCCACTACTTCCACATGGGCGGCACCACCAATTTTTCGGGTCCCCCCATTTATTACCCCGCAGCGCGCAAAAGTAGGGGGACCCCGTTAACCAATTGTGGGGACCCGACCCACTTACAGAAATGAGAAACGCGCCGCATGTAGACCAGAGGCAGAAATGAAAAACGCGCGCCAGTGGGGCCCACTGCACCACGGTTTCTAGCTCCGCTCGTGGCGGTTGTTTGTCCAATTGGTTCTGCAGTGCAGACGGGAACTGAATGGTTTTTTTTTTGTTTGTTTTTTTTTTCTGTTTTTTTTTTTTTTTGTTTTTTTGTTTTTTGAAACTGAACTTTTGTCCCCGACTTTTTTTTTGGAAAACGGAAAAAGCAAAAACAATACGAAGGAAAAAAAAAAAAAAAAAAAGGCATGGCTATTCCGAAAGCTGCGTTAGCGCAGCGCTGCGTAAGCTGGCCGGGGCGTTGGGCGCGAGGCGCCCGCCTCCAATTTTTGTTGACGTCGCTGTGGCGCCGTCGGGGGTGATGCTTGGGCAACGGGGGATCGCACGGGTGCTGTCAAAAAGATGGTGGTGCCGAGCCAGAGCTTGTTGCTGGGGTGGAGGGAGCGTGGGGGATGGAGTGTGTGGGCACTAGGAGGGACATGCTGCAAGAGGGTCTAAAGAGCCCTTGCCATGGGCCAGTCCCGNACGAAGGAAAAAAAAAAAAAAAAAAAGGCATCGCTATTCCGAAAGCTGCGCTAGCGCAGCGCTGCGTAAGCTGGTCAGGGCGTTGGGCGCAAAGCGCCCGTTTCGAATTTTTGTTGACGTCGCTGCACTGTCTCAGTTTCAGTGCCCCCGGGGACGGTGCTTGGGCAACGGGGGATCGCACGGGTGCTGTCAAGAAGATGGTGGTGCCTAGCCAGAGCTTGTTGCTGGGGTGGTGGGAGTGTAGGGGATCGAGTGTGTGGGCACTAAAAGGGGCACGCTGCAAGAGGGTCTGAAGAGCCCTTGCCATGGGCCAGTCCCGACTAACTGGGGTTAGTAATCCTGTTCGAACGAGGAATGATGGAGGCAGATGTGTGGAAATTCGACGGGCGGGATCCGAGCATTGCGATTTGCCAGAGTTTCAGCTGGTTTATAACTGATTCACACCTGAAGGAACCGATCGAGGGCTTTGCCCTTCGGTCTTTGATATGAAGATGCTGCGAGGTTATCCTGTCTCTGAGCAATTGTGGGCGGCCTGTGGCGAAATTTTGCCAGAGCTGTATTTGTTGGATTATAGAAACTCGTTGTTGTTATTGAGTTTGTCGTGTGGATGAAACTGTGGAAACTAGAGTTGGACGATAAGGGTTTGCAGCTAATGGAAATTTAGTTTGTGGGATTGCGGACACGAAGAATATGATTATGTAGGTTTGGTGATAGAAATAGTAATTTTAATTTGCTAGAATTTTGTTGTTGAAACTAGGGCTTGTTCTACGTCTGCTGCCTTTTGATTTCTTTGCAGACAATAGGAATTATATTTTGAATGATTGTAGAGATTGTGATTGACTCGGACGAGGAATATCGTTATGTAAAGAAAATAGTTAGATTGTAGGATTGATATGTTGTAGGCGATTGTCAGTTTATGGTTGGTGGAAACTAGGGTTGGACACCTGACTTTTGCAGCTACGGGGAATGAGGTTTGTGGAATTGCAGGTAGCAACGAGAATAGGTTTATGTTGGCTTATTGATTTTATTGGCCTATAAAAATTAGTTGTTGTTATCAAACCCGTCGTGTGTTGAAACAGTATTAGGGTTGGATGATCGGGGTTCGCAACTATTTGTTAGTATTTTTACGGCTCTTAGGGTTTGCAGTGACATAGTGGTCCGATCTTAGGGCTTGACCGGTGATGTCGCGCCCTTTGATGGGGCCACCTACCTTTTGTGAGGGATGCCAGGCCCGTTTCCTGGCTTATTGAAATATAAGGGACGCCGGGCCCGGTTTCTGGCTGTTTTATTAATATATATATATATATATATATATATATATATATATATATATATATATATATATATTTAAAGCATTGTATTACAAATGAAAGGGGCGAGGTCGGGGTCCTCACAATTCGACCCGGAGTTATCCTGGCAGCCTCAACCAGTTTTGCTTACGAGCCAAGCTTGAAGTCCTACTGTCTGTCAAACCAAGCTGTTGGAAACCGGGTCCAGCGTCCCAAACTACATCAACAGAAGAAAAAAAACTTTTCAAAATTGAAACTTGAAGCGCAGTAAAAGAGGGACTTTTCTTCAATCGTCAATTCCAGAGTAACCTAGAGTTGCTCAAATATGGTTTCTCGTCTCATTTTTTCGTCCCAGTTCAGGCTTTGTTTTAACCTTTACACCTCCATCACACGGCAGGCTATTTTCCGAATAACCATCTTGCATGTTCCATCTTCCCATCCTGTGTGACCGAGGCCATTCGACTCTGAATGGCCCATGTTTTCAAAAACCAAGGCCTACCTCTGCCCTGGCGGCCCTTTGTTCTTCTCCAATCTGCAAGAATCGTGAGTCTGATTGTAGCAAACACCTGTTGTTGCTATTGCTGTATCGACATATGCTTTTGGTTGAAGACCTTCTCATTCCTGGCCTGCCATATCATATGCATCAGGATCCCTCTGCAGACAAGCGCTACATACCCCCAACCTTCTGTATACTTCCATTGTAAGCTGGGGAAAGTACCATATAATATCCAATCATCTGACCAAGGGAAAAACCCTTGTGTTGTGTTGTTCCAGTGGAAGGACCACCACATCCGCAACTCATCTGCTAAGGGACAACCAATCCATAGGTGAATATTCGCTTCCCATCCCCAGTTACATTTGAGACAGAAAGCTGACAACTTCATCCCTCTGTTAACCAACCACTGCGCAGTAGGAACTACTTGTAGGGCTTGCATCCACATCAAACTAGCATTCTTCTGCGACATAATTTTTTCAAGCCCTTCCAAAAGTTCTCCCAGTTTGGTTGTAATGTTGTCGACCCTTTTATCCTTGCCAATCTATCGGAAGCCAGCCCTCCCGGGTTGTGACCTTTTTCCCTGCGGAGGACTGATACTCTCACCTTTGTCGGATACTTAATCCAAGGTGTAATCCCTTTCTCCTCTCGTCCTACGTTCCCACGCTCCCAGCCATACAACAACGGGTCTACAACAAAATTTGTATACTTCCTGATATATTGCTTAATTTTTTCATGGCTATACGCCCGTAGTTCTTGTAAACAAGTGTTGTTACTACAGTCTTTTCCTGTATATACCTCAGAGGTGTCCCGCCCTTCTTAGGTCGGGACATCTACCACTTCTTCACTCTTATCCCTTTATCTAGCTCCGGACCCACCACTTTCCACACCGTTGTCAAATCCCCATTTGTTTCCAGCCATGTCCCTGGTGCATTTTCTGTGGAGGAGGATAGTAGTGATATCCACATTGGAGGTATTGCCTCCTTTATCATGTCATACTTTCGTGTGGTTTGGTGTAGGCGAGGAAGTCGTGCCGATAGTTCCTCCTCCGAAATTCATTCCGTTTTTTCCTCATTCTAAATGTGCTTGATTCTAAGGATCCCTTTCTCAATCCATGCACGTCCAAAGTTGCCCCTTCCCTCTCTAGCTGAAAAAGACATCCCATTAGAAGCAAGTATTAACTCATTGTCAAATAGACACTGGTTGAACACCTCTCCCTTGGTACTGGGTGGGTGCAACACTTTGGGACATATTTTCTTCCAAACATATAAGATCCCCCTCCAGACCCTAAACTTAGTCCTTCTCTGCAAAAAACTGGGTAGCATACAACATTGTCATATATCTCTTGTGTCTGGAAGGGACCATTCATTGCTTAGAATATACTCCGTGATTCTGATTCAGAGCTTGGATGGGTCTTCAAAGCATGCTTTAACTATCCATTTCGATAATAACGCATGATTTTGATCCTTTGGGTCTAGAATGCCTAAACCTCCTTCCGATCTGGGGCAGGAAACCACCCCCCAGGCTACCTTTGGGATGTACGTTTGACCCTCCCCTGCCGAGGGCTTCCATAGGTATTTCGTTGCAACTCTACAAACTTTTTTACATGCTTCCTCCCCCATCAGACAAATAGTCAAAGAAAACCACAATAAGGAGAAAGCAGTTGCATGAAGCACAAAGGTCCTCCCAAACAAGGGCAGTTTATAGTTTTTCAACCAACCTTTTATTCTTGTCGTGGTTTTATTCGCTAACAGTTGCTCTTGAGTTCGAGAACAATCTGATAGTGAAACCTGTACTCCGAGAAACCTTTCAGAATTCTCTGTATGGATTTGCCTCAAACTCCGTTCTACCTTCAAAGAGTACATGGCAGACAACAAATATACCGATGTTGTCCAGTTTATCGAAACTTCTGAGAGATTACAATATTAATCTAAAACCTTACATAACTCAAGAAGGGAACCCGCAGTATTTTCGCAGGCGACAGTTAAGTCGTCTGCTATAGCTCCCCCCTTCTATTGTAACGAAGGAGAGAGCACCAAACCAGTAATATTTTGATTGATACGAATATTATCCAAAGGTGTCTCCAACTGCAGGACAAACAGCAAGGGTGCTAATGGACACCCGTGTCTAAGTGATCGAGTAAGTGGAAACTCATCAGACAAAACTCCGTTG